TTTCAGTTTGAATTTCTGCAATTAAACCTTTTCTGTGGATGGATGGATGGATGGGTGGATGGATGGATGGATGGGTGGATGGATGGATGGATAGATAGATGGATGGATGGATGGATGGGTGTATGGATGGATGGATGGATGGATGGATGGATGGATGGATGGATGGATGGATGGATGGATGGATGGTGGTTAACACTGTTGCCTCACACAGTACTGAGTTTGACTCCACTGAGGTATTTCAGTAGTAGTATTTCTTGTTCCACTAGCCCACTTCTCATGAGTTTGTCTTGGTTTCCCAGCATCTGATGTGGACTTTAGTAAACCAGGTCACATCCAAGTTGGTATGCTTTCAGCTATAAGTGTCACGTTTCGTATATGTGTCATGCTCCAGATCTAGCCTGGGGACCCTTCCTGGACACATGCTGATAGGGACATATATACACTCACTGATCACCTTATTAGGTACACTTTGATGGTGACTGGACTGTCTGGACTGTCTTGGACCTCATATCCTTCAGAACTCTCTTATTTTTTCCTCTCAGAGGTTCATTATTATTGTAGGATCTCTGTGTTACAATATAAAGCCTTGGATAATTTTAGCCATTCTCCTCTGACTCCTGGCATCAGCTAAGCATATTTGCACAGGGGACTGCTGCTCACTGGATATTTTCTCTTTTTTAGATCATTCTTTGTAAACCCTAGAGACGGTTGTGTAGGAAAATCCCAGTAAGCCACATTCAAAGTCACTTAAATCACATTTCTTCCCTAGTCTGATGCTCAGTTTTAACTCCAGGAGTCCATCTTGACTCTAGGGATGTATATATGGCCATTCTGAGACACAGCAAAGGAGTTGGCAAAAATGCTGGAGACTGTGATGAGGTTAATTTTACTTTGTATTTATTATTGCTTTTTATCTTAATTCTTTTTCACTCATTTTGTTTTGAAAAGTGTGCCATTGTGTACTGTTTTTTTTCTCATGCTCAAGTGCATGCAGGTCTTGGAGTCATGATAGTTTTCATCAAGAAAAACCTTTTTAATCGCTAATTTCTCGCCTTCTCGGAAATATTTATTAGGCATTATTGAAATACCAGTAATACTTTTACATTAGTCAAACCTGCTATAAAAATTAGGCTCTACCGCCCTCCTCTGGCAATAACGATCCCACATAAATTACATCATGGTTCCTGATGATTTCCACTAATAGGAAATATCGGGTCATGATGACTGGCACCAATCAAAGACTAGCAGGGACCCTCTGTTGTTTTACTGGAAGTGAGTGACGTGGCAGTGATGCTGTGAATGATTAATTTAGAAAGAGAGAGAAGAAGAAAAAAAGATGTGGGCTCACACCATATGTGAAGCATTTATTATTCTGTGTTAAATGGGGAAATGCCAGTCTGTTCATATAGCCCGTAACCAGCTTGCAGCTATACAGCAATTAAAGACACAGCAGTGTTATTGACTGCAGGCCTGTGTGCTGTTAAGCTTCCATTAACATCAAAAAGGACTAATAGCTTATGTCTAAATACTGACCTTGAATTGAAAACACAGCATCAAAGACTTTTACTCTTTACAAAACTCTGGCTTTAAATGCAAAATATTGAGCCAATTAATAATTCACTTTTTTATGTGGAGCCCTTTGCTCTTATGTATAGCCTTACTAAATTATAGGCATACTTGATATTTCAGAGGCTTTTTTTGGAGGGAGCTACTTGCAGTGACTACAGCACCGGCCTGGTATGACAGCTAGAACAGCCTGCCACAGACTGGACAAGAAGCCGTTATCGGCTACGCGGGAGGACATGGGAAGAACATTTTGGCTGCAGCTAGATTAAAATAATTCGCTAAGGGTTTGTATACGGAATTTAAGCCCTGACCCTTTTTTTTTTGTCGTCAGGAGCGAGCGCCGTTACGTCGGAAGAGTAGCACGAGCCGGTATTGCAGCGAGTTTATTAGCCAGAAAGCCCACTATTATTCAGCTCGAAAATTGATAATAATAATAACGCGAGAGTTTGCAAGTTGCCTCAAGACTGTAGTCGCAACTGTCAAAGGTGGAGTGGATACGCGCATGACCCAACACACATTACTGTAATACTGTACACGGCCGCCGAGATAATATCCGTATAAAAAACGAATAATCCCGAGGTAAGGAGCGAGGAGTGAACCAAACCCGACCGAGATTTGGCGCTTCTGCTGATTCGTTTTCGTTCGTTTTCTTTTACTCTAACCAACAGACTCACAGCCGTCGAAATTACTGCACTAAACATATTTTTGTGCCTCCCTTTAGCTCCTGCCAGCGCAAGGATTTTTTTTTTACTCCTCCTTCGTAATAAAGTCGCCATTTTGCTTCACTGCCTATATAAACCATCCCGTATTCTAATATTTTTTCTCAAGGAGTCGAGGGCTCTGTCTTTCCTGGCTATTTCTATTAATTTGGAGAGTTTAACGAGAAGACAAGGGTTGGAGAAGTGCCTCGTGGTATACATATTAATGCACGAAAGGAGAACGAGAGGGGGGGGCAAGGCAATTGGAAGCTGGAAATAAGGTGAAAGTATCCTGGATTTCTTTTCATGTTCAGACGAATTTATAATTTCTCATCTCCTGCACTGCTCTTTTTTACCGTCCACCTGGTCGTCGTCTGCAGACTGGGGGGGACAGGACGACGGTGACGACTGTCCGCTTCCTTTCAGGCCCCCCAAGCTCAACCTGACCGCTCCTTGACGCACAGCAGGTGTGATTGCCATGTAACTTAACGTTGGTGAAAAAAACCGCCTACTTTGGTGCCTGTCTCCTGCCCCTGACCTCCTCCTACCTCACGTGGATGACCCGGGGCCACCCGGGCTCTGGTGCTGGGTGACTGCTCGACAGTTAAGGTAGGTGTGGCCGGGGAGGAGGAAGAAAGTAGAGCACTATTTTAGTTAACCACATAAATAGGCAACTCAGACCTTGTTGTAGTTGTCAAACAGCGTGGCAGTGTGCCACGTGCGGTGTTAAAATACTTATTTCTAGGTTGGTCTCTCAGCAGATTGTGAGAGGAGATGTGAGTGGGTGTCACGGGGTTTTGTTGTGTCTAGCTAAGTGTATGGTAATAAAGTTTCTGTAGCAGGTTTGTGTTTACATGTAGATTTAATCGTTTACGAAAACCCCAGCTGCAATGAATTTATTCATTTATTTATTTAATAGGAGGATGCTGTTGAAACACTGTGGCAAATCTAAAACGGGGTTATCCTACATAATTATTATAGGGTTGCACAGTAAGACTCACCATCAATCAGCCATATCTTTCTCACCACCTCTGTTTATTTTAAGTAGTTATGAGCTGACCTGTAGCCCATCTCTTCATGCTCTGATACATCATACCGGAAAAGGAAGATGCCTAGTGTTAATGTGTGAAAGATTTCATCAAGTTGCACCCTGCAGCAAGTTCACCGTGCATTTTATAGTCAAAATCATCAAAACTTTACAACTACTGTGAATGCTTTATCTCTGTGGTATTCACGCAGTGAATTGCACAGCATGTAAACGGACACCGAGTGGCCCCCATTGAGTGACCCTTTGTGTGCTTTGTAATTCATTAGGAGAGTGACATGAATGTGTGCTAAGAGAAACCATGTTGGATTGTAATCAGTACCACTCACCATAATTAGCAATTGTCAGCCTCTATTCACAAGGCTGTTCCTTCCTGATGGGGAATGATGTTTAAGCACAGAGAGTCTGAACTTGACATGTACAATATAAGCATCGGGATTGATAGATGTAATGTATCTCACTTGACCTGAACTAGAGATCGCTGGTTTTCATAGTAAAGAAAGCTTGCACAGCTGCTCAGGAAAGTAGCTTTGTATCCCCACCATCTCTTTGACTCACCTTTTGTCTAATGGGCAGAGCATGAAGTTAGTGTGCGAGTAAGAGTATTGATTTTGAAATGAAAACATGGAAGGTCACACCCTCATTACCACACGTGTGCCTGCGCTCAGACAACCTTCAGGCCAATAGCACTGATGGCCAACATAAAGAAGCTGCATTATTGAACAAGGAGACAGCATCATCACACGCTATTGATGAAGCAGACTTTGCTAATAATGTTTTGACAAACAATGGATTCGGATTAATGAGCAGCAGAAGCATTTCTGATATTACCTTTAGCTATGTCTCCTGTGTGTTTGTACCCCCTTGTTTGTACATTGCAGGCATGGAGAGCCCAAGTGGGCCCAAGCTTGGGAAGCTGTCCTCATCAGGGCTGTCAAGGGGCCGAACGCCCAAGCATGGACATCCCCAGGAGCAAGTTAGAACCATGTCAACCCCTGAAAACCACAGCAAACATAGTGAGTGACGAGCCGCTACATTTTGTTGAATGAATAGTGTGTGAGTTCAGGTTTTGTTGGTATGACTCAAGTTTGCTCCTGGACTGATTCTAGGATGAAGTTCATGAAGCGATACAGTGTGAAGAGTAGGTACTGGGTGCATACAGCATGACATACTAACACATATATGACAACTGAATTTTTTGTTTTTGCATATTTGTTTCTTAGATCCAGCAGGTTTGCATTGGCTAAAGTTTTGTAATTCCAGCTAGTGCACTTTAGTGTGCTTTCTCAAGGATTTGATTAGCATACCATGCATGCAGGGGTCTCTGTAGCTGCTTTTTTTTTTTTGAATGGATTATATTTTATTAGAAATCAATGGTTTCAGGTTCAGTGTAATTCTACCCCTCTCACCACAGTAGAGCCTGGAAACTCCAGCAATTTTCCTGAGACTGCTTTACAGTGAGAAAAGCAAACAAACAAAAATTGCCAAGCACTGACACAAGTGAAACCCCAGGCCATCTGGATGGAAATGGAAGATTTTGGAAAGAGAGGGCCAGACTGGGGAATTATTTTTCAATCCAATAACCAGTAGATCATCATGACTTTGTTAATAGCGTTGGGCAGGCTTGGAAAAATGGGGCTGTTCTAATATGACCCAGTTGTTTTGGTTGCTACAAAATAGCCTCTCATTCCCAGACACACAGAGCACAAACACTAGACTAGGTGCTTCGGTTTATTTTATTTTCATGTTATTATTCAGCCCTGTAGGCCAGAGTTTCATACCGTTGTGCATGCATGTGTTTCTGTGTGTGTTTGCTTGTTGTGGTTATTAATGCAAAGCTTGTGTTGCAAGAAATGAGAGTTCAGCGACAAATGGAACAAAAAAAAGTGTGGAATCCCTTTACTAAAATCTTCCTTGTATTTATGACTGTCTGCAAGATCTTCCCATAGTTAGAAATAAAACACTCCTCCTCAACTTCTCATTGTGTAGGGTCTGGCAGCTGATTGGCTGTTTTTGCTGTTGAAGTACATTTGTTTTTTGAATGACATGGTTTTTGCTGCAGCCTCTTAAAGTTTTGTGTTTTATGGGCATTTTTTACACTTTATTACTCAGTAAATAAGAGGAGTTTATAAATCAATCAGCAGAAAGTTTGTGCTGGGCTCTGCTCTGATCGATGTGAGGCTAAAGACAAGAGATTAGAGACACACTTTTGGCTTAGCTTCACTAATGAATAACTCTGATGACTGCACGTTTTACTGTGTGCGCGCGTCTTAAAGTAATACTATAACAGGTGATGGATTGGTCCTGGTTTTTATGGGGCTTTTTCAGGTTACTTAAGATTCTGCTATTTCTGTGTGTCTATTTCATTTTCTCTTTTTACACTTGATCTGTCTGAACTTGCAATTATGTTGAGCTTCTAAGTGATACCAGTAGTATTTAGATCATGTTTGATACTGCAAGTCTGTGCTATTGTCTGTTTTAAGAATAGCTTCTGGCACAAAAGATAAGAATCTATGTTCCACTATGTCTAAGGAAGCTTAGCTGGTAACATTGCCAGCTGGTTGAGATTTATCTTCTCTAAGAACCACAAGGAGAGAGACAGAGCTTCTCCTGGAGCACATGTAGATTGTACTGACCAATAAGAAGATGAATATAGACATAACATACAACACGGGAAATGTATAAGAAATTCTACATTTCCATTTTAGGAATATAGTTAAATTTTGTACAGTAACCGGTTTGGAATATGATTTATAAACCAGTAAGATATTCATTGACTGACTGACTGTGCCAAATTATGTTTCAAACACCAAGCAATCTTTTACGATTTTCAGTCTCCTTAACTTATTATTTAGAAATTTTATAGATGTTATGATAAGGAGAAATGCTACAGTGGTGATATAATGAACCTGGCACTGGCTTGTCTATCCCAGGGGGGATATGAACCTCAGTTTGGGGAAACAAAGGCATCAATATCTAAGGCTCCCTATGAAGGTTTTTCAGTCCATGCTCATTGCACACAATGTGCTCTTCTGATAACCTCATTATCTGCCCTCATCCCACTGGTTACTTCTTCATTTTTCATTTTATGTCCATGGAGAGTTTGGACTGTTATGTTGCGTTATCAGTTCTCATGTTGGCCCATAAATCTCCAGCTGGAAACTTTGCATGATGTAATAGCGGAGAAATCCCGTCTGGCTGTTGTACTGGTGGTTTCCTGAAATCACTGTGTGCCTTTATATGTGACAACAAAACTTGGGTTTGTGTGCTTTCCTAGAGTGTTGTGGTTGAGCTGTCACCTTGCCACACCAGAGAAGTCACAGGAAAGAATGTGGTCCTTGAGGGTGATTTGCGCTCTGTTTCTCTCTTTTGTGCTTCAAGATGTTTCCTATTAATGTCTTGTTTGATTCTAAAGCTAAGTCATTTTTCTATTTAGATAGAACTAATGCTGTTTTGCCAAGTGCTGTAGGCCCTGAAAATAGTTACCTTTCAGCAAACATTAACCCAAGTCTAAATAAGCAAATAAGTAAAACTTACTTGTGTGAAAGGCCGCCCCCTTCTTTACCCTCTCAGACCCCAGAACACACTATCCAGTCGGCATGTTCTGTGTAAGAGGAGATGAGCGCTCCAGATTTGTTGTTGTATGGTAACATAAGTGGGTTAGGAGGGGAGCTGAGAGCGTGATAAGTTTTATGCTTGTGGCTGTGTGTGAATGATAATGTGCTATTTGGTGCCATTTGTTTGTGTTTATGTTTATGCATCTGTTGGTGCCTGTGTTTGCCCTAGCATGTGTGTTCTCATGCTACACTTGTCTACTCTGGCTGTGCGGACCTTCTTTTCAGGTCCACAGTTGCTCTCTATTGACCCGGTATATCTGCGTCAGTATCCGTCCATCAGTCTCTTGCTTTTCCTCTAAATGTGCTGCTTTTTCAAGCTTTCTCTCACTTACTTGTTGTCCAGACGTGACTGTCATTGCTCACTGTTCTGTCCTTCCTCAGCCTCGTCAACTATTTCTTGTTTACCTATTAGCAGTGACTTAACCTCACTATTCCTGCCACTTCCCATTCCTTCTTCAACCTGTTCCCAACCGTTACCCTCACTTCTGGTCTTAACTCTTATCACATTTCATATTTGTTACATTTTCTAGGAACTTCCTCTTAATGGCTTGAGTCTATCAAATCAGTAAAATAACAAAAGATCAAATCAATAAAAAGCTATAGATTGAGACTGTTTGTTTATGGGTAGAAATTGAATTTTGGTGCTTTTCTCAGCCTGATGCTACACCTCATTTTGAGGAGAGTCCTTTGTCATCTTTGTCACACCTTCACTTGGCAGACTTGTGGATGGTTAATGAGAAGGAGTACAGGGAAATGGGAGAGGAGAGAGATTGAGTTGGTGAGTCACTGTCCATAAGGAGGATATTGCAAACAGTTTGTAGCAGGCATTGTCTCTCTGGCACACATATAAAGTGTTGGATGCCCTGTTGCATAAGCTTATTTTATTGTTATGTTTTTTTTCCAAGTGTGTCTATATATGTTGTGCATCAATTGTAAACTCCCCAGTGATTGGTCAGTTCTCCATTATCCCTCAGGTTTTATCTAAAACTGTTACGATTTGATGTCACTAAACATGGCATTGGCTGTGGGCCAAATAAGTATCAAGTAATTCATTGAGTTTCCAATAATATGAAGCATGCTGTTGATGTGGAAGGCTGTAAAATCAATACAGGTTTGAAGTAGCTGTTGAGGTACAATGAGTCACCAGATTATGTAGCAGAAATCTCAAGCCTGAGCTCTATTCTTGGCTGCTTTACGTGTGGTTTAGTGGTGGAAGTAAACTGATATTCTACCACATGTCTGTGTAGTGATCCCTGGCCTCTCAAACAAAGTGATTCCCCATACAGTAAGTCTGCGGGCAATAGAAATTGGCATTCATTAGGACACTGAAGAATCTCCCAGTGTAACTGTTTTCACTAAGACTGAGTGACTAGTTTAAGTATAGAAATAAATGTAATTATTTTATATATCCATTTTCTTAGACTTGCACAATTCAGGGTCATAGTTGGAGCCTATTCCAGCTGTCCACCCCAGACAGGTCACCAGTCTATTACAGAGAGGCAGATTTCCATTCAAGCTCACAATCGCACCAATGGACAATTTAGAATCACCAGTTAACCAAACGTGTTTGGGTGGTGGGAGGAAACCGTAGTGCTCTGAGAGAACCCTTGCAAGCAAAGGGAGACAATGCAAATGTCACACAGAAAGACCTCCAGTCAACCAGTGGTGTCAAACCAGGAGCTTTTTGCTTTGAGGCAACAATGTTAACCACTGGACCAACAACTCTCCCTGAATAATGTAAGTGATAGCAAATGCCACAGTGTATGCCAGCACTCAGAATGGTTTAATATTAGGAAATAGGTGAAACAAATAGGAAGGTGGTGCCACTAGACAAAAATCCAAAAGTAACCTTTCAGCATATAATAAATCGAGTTGTCTAAGAGTTGTTTTTACTCTTTTTGGATCTCTAATTCACCGTACATGAGAGATGCTTGAAGAAGACCCCAATTGGTAAATTTGTTCTGCCCCATGATAGGGAAACTTTGGCCAATCTGATCTTTTCTGGAAAAGAACAGTCAAATAGTGTGGCGTAGTACGAAGAAAAAGTTTGGGTATAAAGCACCCCACTGTGCAGTGGGCTAATGAGAGGGCATTCTTAGAGGAAAGCTGGATTTGATTTCTTTGTAAAGCAATAAGTCAACATTGGCATTATTTTAATACATACCAACACATACATATCAAACTGTCAGGGTGGAATGGGGCTCAGAAGAGAGCCCCATACTTTCAAATTCTGGTCCTTTCCTAGATTGCTGCCAACAGGAACTCTAATTTATTTTGCAAATAAACCAGTGGAGCTCCACCAGATTCTTTTATTTGTGGTTGTGTCCACTTTTCAGTTAAGGCAACCCAGAGCAAAGGTATGTTTTCTTGCAATGCTCTATAAATTATACAGATTTATAAACATTGCTACTGATGAATTGCTGTTTTCTTTCCATTAAAAAAATAATGAATTTTGACAGATTAGTTAAATGTTTGTGTGTTTCAACAAGTGGATTTATGTAAAAGATTAAGCTCAGATGGTTACACAAAGAAAGAGAGAGAAAGGAGGGAGGGGAGAAAAAGACAGAGAGAGAGCGAGAGAGAGATAGAGAGAGGAAAGACTAAGACGGAAAGTGAGAGCCAGACTCACTGAGACTCTGGGGTTTTTTTCAGTTAGCTGTATCAGGGTAGTAAGACTTGTCTGGTGTTGCACCACCTCACTCCTTACTCACTGTCTGGAATCAGGCCTGACTGTGAGGGAATATAGGAACGTCTTCAAAAGGAGGTGTGTATATAAATGGAACAACTGGTGTGCATGTGTGTGTGTGTGTGTGAGAGAGAGAGAGAGAGAGAGAGAGGAAAGAAGGAGGGAGGAAATGAGAGAACATAATGTAAAATAGCATATAAATATGTGCGTGTGCTTGTATAAAAGCGGTGAACTGTTGCTAAATCAAATGTGTGAAGGAAGGAAACAGTAAGAAAGAAGAAGTTAAAGCACAATAGACAAAAATTTATAGCAGAAACAGAGATGTTAGTAAGGTCCTGTGGTTGCATTCACTATAAAAGCTGCACAGCTTGCACATGCTGTACAGTCATCTGCTAGTGCGTTTGCTCTGCAATGAGTCCAGGTGTATTCGTTTATACATCTAGCGTCTGTTGAGATTGAGGAAGTAACTGTGTCTTGTCTTTTTTTTGTGAAGTAGCATGAGTGGTGAGTGATGTTGTTTGTGTGTTGTCTTTCTAAACTACAGTATGTCTAAAACCAACTGTGAAGGCACAGACAAAGGCTCCTGTGTGACTGTTTGTCAAGGAAAACAAATGACTGTTCTGTGTGTGTATGTGTGTGTGTGTACATTTGTGGGTAATGTGTGAACCCTTGCACTCAGGGAGAGCAGTTGCAGGCGTAGCTAGGAGAACTCAGAGGTTATTTGAGATCATTAGACAGCTGCCAACACTCCTGGTTTTCTTCTCTTCTCTTCTCTTCTCTTCTCTTCTCTTCTCTTCTCTTCTCTTCTCTTCTCTTCTCTTCTCTTCTCTTCTCTTCTGTCAGTGTTAACCAGTCTGCAGCAACAGTTGCAGACAGCTGGGAGCGAGTCACACTCTGACATTAGTTGAACAGCTGTTTTATCCCTATGGTCTGCGCCTGAGAACTGGGGTTTAGATTTGCCACAATAGACCTGCTTTGTTTCCTACCAAGACAATGGTTGTGATTGCCTGAATGTTTGAGCACAAGTGTGCTAGCCATAGCCATACAAACAAAGTAAAATGTATAAAAACATTTTATTGTGTGTGCACAGTTCACCCCAGAAAATCACGTTTTTTAAAAAAAAATTCTTTTTGCTCTAACTTTTGCCAGCATGTGCACTGCTGTGGCTTTGCAGTGTGATTTTTGCCTGTTTGCACTGTAGCCTGCTGCATGTGGGCCTAATTGTTCTGCTTGCTGTAAAGAGGCCTCTGATAATGGTAACTAAGACAAGTGGATCTTATTCCCATAGCAACAAGAACATATCTTTCCCAAGAGCAGAATTCATTAATTATGCCTTTCTTTTACAAGACCTTTATTTTCTAAGACAGGAATTAGAATGCATGCTCAATTTCCTCCTCAGCATAAGAGCTGCACCGCCGACTGCATCACCTCTCCAGCTGCTACCCAGACAGCTAATAGAGAAATGCTCTGTCGCCTGGAGAATATTAATACACTCATATCCATGCAACCACATCTCGCTCACACTCGGTAGTAATGGTTTTGTGTACTTGTTTGCGTGTCAGTGTGCCCTGATGTGTGTGTTTACACCTTGTGTCATCAACTATTCCAAAACACAGTCAGTATTGCTTTGCTACTTCTTATTACATTTTATTCAGTCTTGCTTTATTTTCAATCTACCTTATTATTGTGAGTATGAAGTAAAATGTTACATATAATCTGCCTACATATGTTTGTATCTGTGTTTCCCAACTGAGAGAGGAAAAAGAAGACAAATGAGGGAAAAGGGAGAGAGCTGATACTGTGTAATAAAACACGAAGGGAAATGAGCAGGGGAGGCCATAGTAGGTTAGTCCTCGTGTGCTTCTTATACACATTAACATCCCTGGTATGGAGAGTTGTTTTTGAGGGGGTCAAAGGGTGGCTTTTGCTAACACAAGCTGTTTTTTGTAAGAGAAATGATGGCATTAAGTCAATTCATTTATCTGATGGAAAATTATCCAACCATTTTGTAATCCTGGTAGGCACACAGTGTGCTCTGATCCAGTTTGGGACCTGCTGCAAATGGGCAGCACCAGGCATGTGCATGCTGCCTTGGCTTGTCAATTTGCAGGAGAAGAAAATAGTTAGCAGAAAAAAATGTTATTGTGATGTGAAAGAGATCTAAAAAAAAGTGCATTCCACTTCACAACACAATACCATCTTCTCTACTGTAAATAGATTTTATGTCACTGAAGCATCTCTTGAAGCGTCTTTGTTTCTTGCTTCTTTCTACTGTTGCTGTTGGGTCTTGTCAGATTAATGCAGAGTAAGTTGAGAGAACATGTAAAGCCATATCATTTTGTAGAGCAAACTACAGCTACCTAGAGCACTATGATTCAGTGTTATGCTCAATCAGAGTTATCCACCTCTGCAATTCTCTTCTCTTCCTCAACATCCTGTGCTCTCCTCTTCTTCCTTTGTCAACCCCCCTCCCCTTCTTCCACATGCATACACTCATCTTCAGCTCTTTCCGCCTTCCCTCTCTCCTTCTTCAAGGAGCAGTGTATAGAGGGAATAGAGTGCAGGGCTGATAGTGTGGAGGTCTAATTGCACCCGAGAAGAGAGCAGTGATGAGCCAGTGGAACCGTAGAGAGACACTGGAAAGGGTGTGAGCAAAGAAAGGGAAGAAAAGTGAGAAAAGTAGACATGGGGTGAGAAAGAAGTAAAGCAGCAGCATGAGAGATGGAGGGAATGAGCAATAGAGAGCACATAGAAAGCTGAGGCAGTCGGTCTGCAGTCTGCTGTGTCAGAGGTCCATGCAGGCACTAGCGATTTATAGCTGATCTGTTTGGCTTTACATAAGGCCTTTGCCCAGGCTGCCTCATTTTTCCCTCACTTACACACACAATCGTGGACATCCATTCTGTGTCCCTCCATTCTGTGTCCCTCCACAGAAGAGGCTAACATTTGAACAATGGTCACAGTTAAACCTAAACACTGTATAACTTTGCATTTGTTTGTTTTTCTTCAGAAGTGTTAGTGTTCATACTTATTTTGCAGTTTTGGTGAATACAAATCTATTCTTCAAAATCTCTTTGTGATATCTCAAGAGCATATCTAGACATGGCAAGTCAAATATAACTAGGCTCGTTAGGTCAATAACAAAGAAGGTCCAAATGAAACTTCAGGATTTTAGGTATTACAGAATTTTTTATTTTATGGATATGAAGTGCTGGCAGTAGATTGTTTTTAGCTCTGATGTGGCTTTCTTTCTCGCTTTGCCAGGTCCAGTGTGTGATGAGCCAGCAGAGGGGAAGCGGAAAGGTCGTCCTAAAGCAGAAATGCAGGAACTGAGAAGCATCCCTGTGAGTATTTCTCTTTGAAATGAGTGGGTACTTGAAGTGGGCTTCATTTTTCTTGCACAGTAGGCAGCTCCCCATGAATATTCACAATATACAGTGCTATATAGCAATAAATCTGGCGTGGATTCAACTCTCTCTTCCTCACCCCTGATCAGGCCCATATGATAGTACAATGGAAGGAAGAGTTTAAGCGGCGCTCCAGGGTAAAATGTCCGTGTTCAGGCTGCTGGTTAGAGTTTCCCAGCATCTATGGCGTCAAGTACCACTATCAGCGCTGCCCGGGGGTGAGTCACTAGCCTCTGCTCTTTCCTGCCACAAGGCTGTTTATACCTTTATGCTTCAAAGTAGACTTGTAGCACTGGACCACTTTATAGGAGAAACCCATCCGATAGGGGACCGTTTAATAATTCCAGAGAATATATAATGGCCTTTTTACAAACCTGAGCAATTATTAAGGCTTTTTCAAAAACCTAAGATAAGTCAGCTGGAGGGGTTTTTTTATTTTCTTTTTTGTAACAGCTACCCACTGTCATTAGATTTTGGATAGGGAGAGAACTCACTTTGAATCTCCTCTTCGTATGTCTGCATCCAGGCCACCGTAGCTGAAAAGCTGAGTCATGGCTGTCCCTACTGTGAGGCCGTGTTTGCCACAAAGGTGCGCCTGCAGAAACACAAACTGTGGAATCACCCAGAGAGAGTCAGCATGGAAACCAAGGACGAGCAACCTAAGCTTCAAAAGACTTTTGTGAAGTCCAGCGCTAAGAAAAGGTGACTGAGATATAGCTCAAATTCCTAACCAGATTGAGTCACTTAAAGATAACTGCCTAAAACTGTCCTGTCTCATTCTGTGAATTCAGGCCCATGGAGATCAGTCCCCCCTCTCCTGTGTTCTTCAAAGTGAAAAAGACCCATGAAGTGTCCACACCCTCTCAGAATGGGGAGCTGGCCTACCAGAAAAATGAGAGGAAACAGCACAGCCACAGCCAGCCTTCACAACAAATTCACCAGACCCTGCCAGTCCAGCCTCACTCCCAGCAATCTCATTCCCAAAGCACGTCATCTGATGCAGGGGGAAGTGAAAGCGAGGGGGGCAGCCTTCCCCCTTCTTTTCCTGACGAAGACCCAGAGCGAATGAAGCACAGTAAGATTTCAACATGCCATTTGAAATGTTCTCAATTATATGCTTCCAGTATATTTGTATAACCATTATGCACTGTTTTTCCTCCTGCACTAGGACGAAAGCAGAAAACACCTAAGAAATTCACTGGAGAACAGCCCTCAATATCTGGAACTTTTGGATTGAAAGGTAGATACCTTTTATTAAAAGGAAAACATGGTTGTTGTTTTTTTTAGTGAAAACTTGAGCATGACAAAGAATTTTGTGATGTAATTTCACATGCCACTGTAGGGATGTTTGATATAACGATATATAAAGTTCTCTCTTTCTCTTATATTTAATATAACCACACTACAGATGGACAAGCGCCTTTTTTTTATGCGTTGTTGTTAGCAACAACGACGGTAAAACCACCGCGTGTCCACTTGTTTATTTTCCACATAAACCTTTCACAATAAAGCTCAAGATCCTGTTGAGACTTTTCAAAATAAACTGAATCATGTGAAAGAGTATACAGAGTGTTTACGGATGAGAAGCAAAAAAGAGCCACCAGGTGCTAAAAAATAAACCTTAGATTCAAACATTAGAACAGGCTTCACCCGCAGCACGCCGTGTAATAAATACTCACAAAGAAAACGGCGGCCGCTACAACTTATGTCTAAAAATGTATAGTTTCATGCATCGATTAAAACACTCGACTCTACCAGGTACATGACGCGCAGCTGGAAACACTTCACGCAACTCGAGCTGCCCGAGATGCACAGAATTTACAGAAAATGTTAAATTTCTGTGATTTATATTGTTATCAGGGCGATAGATGTCTTATATCGGGATATGAGATTCTGGTCATATTGCACGTCCCTATGCCACTGATATAATAAAAATATGAGACAGAATAGTTTTTTTTTGTATGCTGGTTGATTTACAACAGACCTTAGGAGCCCTTTGCTAATTTACTTAAATATTGAGTTCCAGAGTGGACAAATGTGCCACTGCTGGGAGTAGGGACTCCAAAGAACTTTATTACATTATTAGTTATGTAAGTGACTGAGATTGCACCCTGCTGCCACTGATCAATGGTGCTGTTTTTTTACACAGTGCTAATGTAGCAGCTGTAGAGATGTCTCATATCTGGCTAAATTAATCAGTGACTCACACATCAAGCACACATTACATACGCATATTTTTTTCAGCCTTTCTTTGTCTCATTCACATATATGCTGAAAATGCTCAGTGACTCATATAGCATACAGAGGGCTGTAAACTACTTACTATCACTTGTCAGACATTTCACCTGCAGCTCACAGGCGCTGTCTTTTGCTGTCTTTTAGTCTGCTTGTCATTGATTTGGTATAGCTCAAAACAACTTCCATTTTCAGCCTCCTTTTTTCAATTTATAGTCAGTATCAACTTTCTGTTTTTAGTATCGTGTTCTTGTTTGGTTTGCCCTACATCTGTCCCACTCGCATTTCTCACTTTATCTTCTATACTTTCAGTTTGAATTTTAATCACTAGCGTGACTGTCTGTGTATATGTGTGTGTCTGCGTGTGCACATGTGTGTTGTAGGTATGACTAAGGTAGAGGAGAAGCTGAAGGCAGGCCGTGTGAAGAGACCAGAGGGGAGTGGGTTCACTGAGGAGGCTCAGAGAAGACCTTCGTCAGTTCAGCCCTCCAGAAAAGACTCGGCCACAACAAGCTCTGGTGAACACCAAGATCACATTTTTTAAATTAATCATCCATCTATCTAGCCATCCACACATCCATCCATCCAGCTATACATTTTCATATCTACCTGTCCAATTCAGGGTTTTGGGGGGGGCTGTCATAAGGCTAACAAAGAAGCTAACACATTCATGCTTACTTCACACCTACAGCCAACCAAGTTTATTAAGTAAAAACTAAAATTAAGGTTTGAAAAAAATTAGTTGGCTAAAATAACAATAAAATGTATAAAAAAAATTAAGACTTTCTTAAAAAAAACAGTGAACTTGAAAAACTAATTAAAATAAAAATACAGCGTAAGTAACCTTAGTTTTAGGATCTGTTCGTTTGGTATAAATGTTATTATAGCTTCCTTGATTGGGAATTGATGGACATGTTTGAACATTTAAACTAACTAAAAGAAAACCAAAACTATACATTTTCAAACAGTAAATGCTAAAATGAAATGAGAAACCCATTCTGGAAAATAACTGAAGCTAGAATTGGAACTAGAAAATACACTGATCACTCTGCCACCAACTTAGAATTACCAGTTAACCAGTTAACATGCATGCCTTTGGACTACTTGAGGAAGCCAGAGTAATTGGAGAAACCCCACGCAGGCAGAAGAACATACATAGTTATTAATCAGTCAAATATAATTATTACTTTTATAAGTTGCATCATGTTTTCTTCAAAGAGCATTTCTTAAATCTTAATGAGATATGCATGCATATGACAAAAACGACAAAATATTTATCTTCAAACTATCAAAACCCCATGGATATTCAGTTCAGTCATATGAAACTGAGAAAGCAGCAATCTTTCACTTTTGGGAAGCTAAAAACGTAAGTGCTTACTGATCATCTAGATTGCTGACACATAAGGACATCATACCAGTGTAATTTCATTGGCTAAATAACAAAGCAGTACTGTGCTCTGAATGTTACTCAGGAGCTGTTCCTGACACTCAGTGGCAGCGAGCAATCTCAGAGAGAGGTGAAGTGGTGTGTCCCACTTGCTCCATCGTTACCAGGAAAACAATCCATGGCCTCAAGAAACACATGGAGATTTGTCAAAAGGTCAGTAGTCGATGCATCTGTTCATCAGAGGGGGAGCGGGGTGGCTGCGCTGTCAAAACAGCTGTTAGAGCAAACTGTGAAACCAGTAAAATTGTTTTGCTGGTAGTAGCATTCAAAGACAAACTGGAGCTGTAAAGCTCAGCTTGAAGAAGCCTTGCATTGTGGTTATTGTGCACTGAATACGTTAAAACTGGGGAGCCTGGGAACCTTTTCTAGTAAAGATAATGAAAATAAGGCTATCAGATTGCCCATGAGCCTGTTGCTGATTCACCACTGTTCTTTCCTTAGACCAGTTGTGATAGATACTGACTGCTGCGGTCCAGAAACACCCCATAGGAGCTGCAGTTTTTGAAGATGTTCATAGTCATCATAATCTGGTCCTTCTCAGGCTCATTTAAATCCTTACACTTAACACATCAACTTTGAGGAAAAAATGTTCACTTGCCCCCCTAATATATCCCACCCACTAACAGGTGCTATGATAAAGAGATAATCGGTTTTATTTGCTTCATCTGCCAGTGGTCATAATGTTATGTATGATCATAAAAGGGGAAGGGAAGGGCCCTGTAAGCTACTGGAAATATAGTGTGTAATGCACTCAGTTGTGGTTATTAGCAGTAATAAATGAAAATGGGCTAAAGCGTGGGGGAAAAAAAGGTTATTTGAGTTGTATTATATCAAGCTTGTCTAGTGGATGAATGAGGTTGAGTGTTGCAGTAGCCTCAGCCCTCAAAGACAGTGTTCCTGCAGCCTGTTTTAATGGCTCTTTAGCCTAGTGGCCTGTGTGACTCTATTAAAGTGACAGTCTGCTGTTAAGCAATGACAGAATCATCACATTACCACTGGGTCACTCACCATCAAGACACCTCTGTCTCCAAATCAATACTGAAGCGAGGAGAGAAGCTACAACAAAGAACACTATGTGATAAATTGGGGTGGGGGGGTTTAAGGTTCCTAATGTGTCCCTTGCCCTTTACTTTGACCAGAACATGCACTAGTAACAAACTTTATTAGGTTACAGATGAAATGTTGACATACTGATGGATTCAATAAAGAGCAAAGCCAGCAGGAGTGGGTTATTTTCTTCTCATAGAAAAATGTTATCTGAGCTTCTTCTTTGGCCTTCAACCCCTGCAGCTCCAGGATGCCCTGAAGTGCCAGCAGTGCCACAAGCAGTTCAGGTCCAAGGCCGGCCTCAACTACCACACCATGGCCGAGCACAACAGCAAGGTACGTCACTGATGTTTTACTTTGTAAACCAGTTTCAAAGACTTTAAACTTAAAAATGACACCCTGTGACTGATTTTGCTCCTTTTTCTATGACTCATTATGAGTCCAGATGGTTTGGGTGATCAGATCATCACTGAACATGGTAATTAGTTTCAAACAACACCAAAGAACTGAAAAGTGAATGCTAATAGTTTGGTTTGTCATGACAGTATGCATGGAAATCCTACATTTATTTCTGCTAGTATCAGTTTACACAGCAGATGTCCATCTATTTATATGCATCAACGTATAGAGTAAAAAATATACTCTATCCTATAATTTTATCCGTTACAAAAGTATTGTCAGATGCTATGATGATCTCTCAAAATTTGATCTTGTGGTCTCTAAAAAATCGTGATTGTAAAGTTGAACTGGCGATTGGTATTCCTGTCAGTGAAGTGCTCACATTTCTTTCTGCAGCTGTCTTAACTCTGACAGCAGAGAGCTTCATTAAGATATTATCATGACACTCCTGCATTAGAGCAGTGGTGCCACTATGAAGTTTGCTGAATAATTTAAAGCTACCCGTTTCAAAACGTATTATAAAAGATTAATGAATCTACACTCAGCAAACCTTGTGGCATGTGTGTTTGTGTTTTTTTGTGAATGCGTATGGTTATAGTATATGAAATACATGGTAATCTATGTGTATGTGTTTAACAGGCTTTGGCTGTGTAATGTTTGCTAGATTAAGGGCTCTGATAGATGACCGTGCCATCTGTGTCAGCCAAGTTAAACTGTTTGATGCTGCCATTTGTCTTCAGAGGGGACCTGTTGTGTCCTGACCTTATTGGCAGGATTCCAGTCCAGAAGAGCAAAAGGCATTAGTGCATTATTTTTGTGTGTGTGTGTGTATGTGTATGTGTGTGTGTGTGTGTGTGCGTGCGTGCGTGCGTGCATGTTAAGAATAAAATGCTTAAAGGTTGCACAAGGTAGTCTTCCTACACATCTAAACTTCTGCTGTTTCTGTTCTTCTGATTAGATAATTACAACTTTTGTGACAGAATGAAAGCTGTTATTGTGTTAATCTCTGTTTGTGTGTTGGTGTGCTCTAGATTTGAAGTAGTTCCTTATTAAAGAAGGCTTTTTTAGCTTGTGGGTTTGACTGGTGTCACACTCTTTTTACTTGTCTTTCCAATGAATTTTAAAATTCAGGAAATTGAAAGATCAGGAGGAGATAACACATTTCTTAAAATCACAGTCTTTAGAAGTATGACGTGTCCTTAGCCCTCTTTCTGTTTAGATACAAACGTTTCCTTTGTGCTACAGTAAGACAAGTACTTTTCTACAGTATCAATCATGTTATTTATTAATGCTACAATGTATACAATGTTATACATTGTAGCGGTTTTAGAGTCATGTTTTTAAGGAAGTAGGCACTACTACAACTGTGCTTTTGGATACACTGTATATTAAGGCATTTATTCATTCAAAAGTATCAAAAAGACCAGTGTTTGGTGCCTTTGAATTGCAAAGCAGTTTTTTTCATCACTCATGTGTTCATCCAACAAATCTGCAGAACTTTTGTTCATGCAAATATGTTGCACTAATGTATTTTCCAGTATTTGTGAATCACTTGGTACAGTGTCCTTTAACATAGAATAGAAAAATGAGCATATAATGAAAAAAAAAGCTTTTGCTCATACATTTTATTAGCGGTGTTAAGTTTACATATGTTAATTTGTCCAGCACTATTGCAATAAGTTGAATTTCTTATTAATATTCCTATATTAAACCGATTTGCACTTCAGTCTCATGTAAGCTGTGTTACTGTGTTTGGTTTCTGTATGACTTGGAGACTTCACTGACCATTGCTCTGCTATTGTAAGTCTTGTCATGTGGCTTTACCCAAATGCAGTGTGGGAAAGGCAGCAGGCTGACAGAAGGACAGGGGTCACCCACTGAGATTGACCTTGGCGTTGCTACTGTGATAGTGCTGCCTCATTCTCTTACGCTTGCTCTTTTGCTCCTTCCCTGATAGAAGCATTAAGAATACAAGCTGATGTCGTTTCATTGTTGCTAGCTCTGTCATTGTATATCAAAGGCTAGCTGGTGCCTGTCCTGCTACCCTCAGGCTTTTGCAGTAGCTTTATTGAAGTACTCAAGTGGTATCTCCCTCCTACCTTTAAAGAAAGCTACTGTAGTGTTGTGTGTCAGTCATCTCTGTGTGTTAACACATGAGAAAGCACATGAAATGTGTTCCGCTGGGATCCCTCAGTTAGTCTACTCTCTCTCCAGTCCCCTGCATTTCTTTTCCATCTCTGGCAGCCCTACCATCTGTTGTTCTGGTCTTGGCTGGTGTTTGGCACCAACCAACATGCGAGCGAAAACACGAGTTTGACAGTTGTCATAAACATGCCTTGAGTAACAGCCTCACCAGGAAACCATTTAATGATCCTGGCATCATGTGAACATTAGAGATAGAAAACACATTTTGATTGCTTTTTTTTTTTAGTCATGAGGAAGTGGGGTGTGTGGTGGTGTGATAGTGTATTTGTTCCCCCTCAGCCCTCAGGGAGTGAAGGCCAGACGGGCAACGAGCACGAGGAGAGGGAAAGGCTGCGCCGAGTGCTCAAACAAATGGGACGAATTAAGTGTCCCAGTGAGGTATGCACTTCTTCTTTTTCCCTGGTCCTTTCCTCTTTTACTGTCTCTCATTCTATACTACTCTTGCTTTCCTGTGTCTTTCATTTCCATTCGTCTCAACCTTTATGTCTTTTATGTCACATTTCTGTCCCTCGTCATCTGCCAGTTTTGATTTCATTTCTCTCTTGTCCTCAGGATCTTCTTTTGTGCCTTTCTCCTTTTACATCTCTCTCGCTCTCTCTCGCTCTCGCTCTTTCGCTCTCTCTTGTTATCTTTCTCTCTCTTCCTTCCCTCTTCCCTCTCTTTTTCCTTTATGCCTTGTTCTTGACATGTTGCCCAAAATCACATCAACACCCTGCTTCGCATTACTCACACTAGAGTGCAAAAGGCAGAGAGAGTAAGAATAGAAAGAGCTGTAAAGAATAAACTCTACAGTGACATGTCTTCACACTGAAAAATGAGCATCTTTCTCCTGTTTTCTCTGTCTTTTTAACATTAACCACAAAGTATTGACCAAATGCAGCGTTCCATTAAAACTACACTTTGTTCCACTTACCCAGTCTCTTGCTTAATGTTTGTTTTCATTCTGTCTCATTTTTGTCATTGGCGTCACTCAATCACACAAACATTTTGTGTACAAACACACACGCACACACGTACACAAATACAGGGCTGTTCAGCCCACTTTTCCAGTCTGATGGGCTACCAGTATCACCAGCAGCGTTGTGGAAGAGAGTGTTCTGACGATGCGAAGCCTGTGTTTCTGTGCCAGCACTGTGGAAAAAGCTACCGCTCCAAGGCTGGCAGAGACTACCATGTACGCACCGAACACTCCCCGGCCATCACCACCACAATGACAGCCGCAGCCACCACCAACCTCATGGATAGTATCACTGACACCAACAACAACACTGGCAAGGAGAGGGTGAGATCATCATAGACAAGGGTTGTAGTAGCAGTTATAAGAGATGAACCTTTTTTTCTTTTCATTTTATGCTGATTACAAGCACTTTTTACTGAATTTTAATGAGTACCTAAAGTTTTCCTATATTTTCACTCAAAGGTCTTACTGTTCCTTCAGGTGATCTCTGAAGAATCTCCAACAGGAGGTAAGAAGGAGCAAAGCCAAACTGAAAGGAAACGGTGGCAAGAGAAAGCCCCATCCAGCCATCCTAAGGAGAAGGACAGAGGCGCTAGAGAGAAGGACAGGGAAAAGGAAAGGGAGCAGGAACAAGATCAACAAAAAGCAGCACAGATTGAGAGACAGGGGGAGGACTTTGAAAGGACCCCCAGTGGCAGGGTGAGACGGCGGTCAGCTCAGGTGGCGGTGTTCCACCTGCAAGAAATTGCTGAGGATGAGCTGGCTAAAGACTGGGGCACAAAACGCCGCATCAAGGATGACCTGGTTCCTGACAGCAAGAGGGTGAGGAATAAAATTTGGATGCATTAAGTGCACATGGTGACCACAGTAAATACAGTACATTAGCAGTCCAGGTCAAAGGCCATGCAAAGGCTCCACACAAACTCCATCAGCAGATTTAAAAAATCCTTTATGTTAAATCCACTTTTTTACACTGTAGAATTATATTAATAACTTGAATACTGATAGATTAAAAAAAGTTGTCTTCTGCATAGTTAAACTACACCCGCCCTGGCCTCCCCAACTTCAGCCCAGAGCTTCTAGAGGCTTGGAAAAACCAAGTCAAGGAGAAGGGCTTCATCTGCTGCACAAACGAAGTAAGAATATACAAGTACACCATGTACAAAAAATAACTTACAATATCTGAGCAAAACAAAAGGGATTTGCCTTAACGTTGAGTGTAACATAAATACTAAGTCAGTGTGTTTAATCCCTATTTGTTTCTGCTTTGTCCTAGAACTGTGAAGCTGTCTATTCCAGCGTGTCAGGACTAAAGGCCCATCTCGCCAACTGCAGCAAGGTACAAATCCACACTGCTGCAAAACTCAATGTCTGAGAATATTACTGGATATACAGTAATATTGCAACAAACCAATACAGACATCCCAAAAATACAGTCAAACTGAAAAAAAAAAATTAAGAAAAAGGAAGTGGAATCTGATGGTACAGTTCAAACAAAATTAAGACAAATAAAGATACAAAATGAAGAGAAAGCAGGAAGTATTAGAATCACAGCATGATCTTGTATAACTTGTAAAACAGGATCTATTTTGCTCATTTCCAACTATCTCATCTCAACGATTTTTCACTCTCTACTAGAGTACCTTTGTATTATTAACAATTTACTATGATTCTTGAGGTGAGGGGGGTGGGTATACTGGGCTTTTGTGCTGTCTGTCAGTTCATCCGCTGTATACTACAAGCCTTTTTAGATTGACTGTGTCCTGGAAAGAAAGGTTTGGGAGGGGCTGCTGCACTCATATTAAGGATATCCCTTCTCACTGACATCATACAGAGTGAAGCATAGTAAATATTTTCGAACATTCTGAAACCTGAGTTTTTGGTTGATAGGCATTCATTGCATGTAAGTTAACCTCTGCATTTGAAACTATGGCCCTGATCACTATCAGAATCCACCAAGATTTTGTTTTTGAGCTGTATTTTCTCAAAATATGTTTTTAAGCTTATTTAAATAAAAACTTAACTTGGAATATGTTTTTAACACCCTCCTGCTGTAAAAGGCTGACAGGGTATGGTTTTTGATGGGTTCTTAAGTTGCACCTTCTGCAGCAACCTTAAACTGGTTATCTAAGCAAATATCTTATGAGTCATGAGGCAGAAAATTGGCTTATGAACAGGTGGACATGGTAAAGATGATTTGTTAAATTTCAAAAATTTCTGTCCACATGGCAGTCAAGAATGGGCAAATAAGGCTATGGTATAGTTAGAATTTGGCATAAACAACATAGAAACATGCATCTATTCTCTTTTGTGTCAACAATTCAGGGTGTTCAGGTAGTGTAATGATGTGAGGGATAATTTCTTTGCGCATTTTAGTACCAGTTGAGTGTCATAAATGCCAAAGACCAAGTATTGTTGCTGACCATCTTGATCACTTTATGACCATCCCTTTGTGTACCCATCATCTAATGACTACAGCTGGCGTCATAATGGACCAAGTAACAAAGGTCATACCATCTCATATTGGTTTGTTGAACCAAACAGTGACTTTAGTGTACTCGGGTGTCTTCCACAACTACCAGATCCAACAGAGAACCTTTGGAATGTGGTGGAACAGGAGATACACCAGATGATGCCGTTACCCACAAATCAGGAACAAACATTTGATGATATCATGTTAACACAGACCAAAATCTCAGGGGAAAGTTTAAGTGTGTCCAACCAGGTACTAGCAACATTTCTGGTGTGTGTGTTTGTTACAGGGTGGTGGCGAAATGGGGAAGTACACCTGTCTGATCTGTCAGAAGGAGTTCAGCTCGGAGAGTGGCGTCAAATACCATATTAGCAAGACACACTCACAGGTGGGTCACTGTCAGTATAAACTTAGAGGTTGCCATTAACATGACCCACTTAGTAAATTTCATTTCTGGTAATACGTCATAAAATAATGAACGGCATTGGTTAATCTTAGATCCAGTTTATTTTATCAGACTTGTTGCCAATATGACCGAAAAGAGCACTAAGAGGCTGGTCACTGGGACTCACTGGGAATTGTTGTGGAAAAGTGTATGAAGAAGAATGTGCAGACCACATTTGGCAATAGTAGTCAACCAGTCTATAATAATTTGGTTGAGTGAAGTGTAGGACAGATCGTATCTTCCTGCTGCCATGAAATTTTATGATGTTGTTATTAACACAAAAGATTCATGGGCAGGTTACCAACATGGTAACAGTAATGAACCCATTTCTACTGTTTTACTAGTTACATATTGTATTTTTGTTTGTTTTTGAGAAACATTCAAATGTCTCTGATTGGTTGAATAAAGTTTTTTGTTTTTATCTAAAAGGCAAAGCAAATCCAGAAGTGTGTCTACGGCTCCAAAAAGTTTCTGCAGTTTTATGCAAGTCTATGGGAAAATAGACTCAGAGACCAGCCGCTAGTTTCAGGTCATCTTGAATTGAACATTAAGTCCATTATGGCGTCTATTGTCTTATGTAGTCTGGAAGATGAGTGGATGATGGGGTGGGTGCAGTTTTCTCTGTGGTGGGGTTGGGTGG